ACGTGTCCTCCACCATGGCCTGGGGAAGCAAAGCGGGTTCCTCCGTAGCAGACTGGATGGGAGACGAACGGGGAGCCCCAAGCCGTGGGGAGAAGGGCGAGACCACCGGAGCCTCCACCTGCGGCATCGCCTGCTTGTCGAACTGCCCCGTTTGCTGCGCCTCCACTGCGAGACGGCAGCGCTCCCAGCGCGGAAGCAACTTCACTGGCGCCGACGCGTCCTGCTCCTCCGCCGCTGGGTGCCTGCAGCCAGGTGCCGGGGGCGGCGGCGGCGGGTGGCTGAACTGGCGCTGCAAGTCCGCCATCGAGAAGAAAAACCACGAGCGAGCCGAAGACTCAGCAAAGGCTGAGACGCGCGCCCCGAGGTCGCCGTTGACGAGATGCACCGGCACGAAGAGGCGCAGCTCGGGACCCTTTGATACCATGCACCGGTATCCCCCAGCGTTCACTGGCGCACACAAGGCGGAAGCGCTCAAGCCAGCAGCACAATTGCCATCAGCCCTGGGGAGGCGCGAGCCGTCAAGGATCCTGAAAATGACTCGAGCCCGAGCTTGAGCCAAAATGGCTACGGAGAGTATAGTCTAATGAGAAGGAAAATTAGGAGGTGGAGGAGGAGGAGAAGGAGAAGGAGAAGGAGAAGAAGGTGGTGGAGGAGGAGGAGGAAGAGGAGGAGGAGGAGGAGGAGGAGGGGGACGAGGCAGAGGCAGAGGAGCAGGAGGCAGAGGAGTGGCGAGTTTATTCCCCGCCGAGAGAAAAAGGGGGGGACAATAACTAAAGACCTCGGTTGCCTCGCCACCCCGCCCCCCCCCTGCCCGACTCGCGCCCCTGGCTCTTCGGACACGGCAGCTCCACACCACCGCCCTGCCTGGACCTGGGGCTGGCGCACGTGTGCACAGCCTCCTGGCCATGACCGGCACGGCGCACACGCCACGCGGCCCTGCCCCCCTGCAGAGGCCTCGCCGCGGCCCGCGGCACCTCCCGCCCCGCCCCCTCTGCGAGCCCACCCGAGCGCCCCAGGGACGCCCCAAACCCCCAACCGCCCCAGCATCGCCCGAAAGCCTCGGTCCTGAGTCGCCGTCGAGGGCGACGGCGACGGCTGCACCGCTGCCGCCACCCCTGCCGGGCAGGCCCAGCGTACCCCCAGGACGACGTGCCCCCAGTGAGGCGTCGCGGCCTCCTCCTCCTCCTCCTCCTCCTCCTCCTCCTCCTCCTCCTCCTCCTCCTCCTCCTCCTCCTGGGCCACGGTTCCCGCCGCAGCATGCGTCCAGAGGTGGCCCACGAGGCCCCCTGGCTGGATTCTGCACGTCAAGCCCCCCAAGACTCTCGGCTGGCGGGACGGAGAAAGGTGCCGACACCGCTGCTCCACGGACCTCTTAATTCCGGGGTGCGCTCTGACCAGAGTTTCAAGGAGCACGGAGCCGTGGCAGCGAGGGCCCTCTAGGACTAGCAGTGGGATCGATATCTTTGAGAGGGTACGTTATTGGGGGCACCGGCTCAGGGCGGGAAAAACGTCGACCCGGAAGCGGCGATACATCGCCGATGGATCGGCGAAGAGGCCCCCGAAAGCACGTCCGCGCGGCCCTGGGCGGGGCAGGCTATCCGGCCCCCCTGTGGGCGATGCATGGGAGATGGGGAGGCGATGCATCCCCCCCCTGAGCTCAATCTGGCCTCATCCTGCTGAATGGCCCTTCAGTCGGCCGAAAAAAGTCCCAGAAATGGCACCATAAGAGAAGTTCGAGGACCTCGATGCCTCGATGATCGACCCTCCTCTCGCAGGGCGGGAGCGCCTGTTGGGGGACTGTGGTCGCAGGCCCGCGGCCTCCCTGTCACTGGCTGTGGTTTTAGGGTTAGGTCGGGCCTGCCCCCCCCCTACAGGCGGATTTTGGACGAGAATTCAAAGACACCCAACAACTATTCAACAAATCTCTAAAAATGGTAAAACCATCGTCCCCAGACTATTTTTGACTATTTTTGAATATTCCCCGTGTGGAGGGACATGCCCGACTTAAGATTAGGGTCACATAACACGGCTCTCCAAGAACCGCTCAAAACAATCCGGACACCCACAAGAACGCTCTCGGCGAGGCGCAGCCGCTGAAGGCATCCCGAGGCTGGGAAGAGCCCAGAACCGACGAGAACGACCGAAAACCTCGAAGCTCGAGAACCTCGAACCTCACCCAGCATCTGTCCTTCTCTAGTATCGGCGACGTCAGCAATGCATCGGCGCCGTTGGCGTGGAGAAAGCCAGAGTCCACACCGAGCCGCGTGGCAGACGCGTCGGCGGTACGGCGCGATCCTTCGACCCCACCTACAATCAACCCGTATGATAAGGACGCTCGGTAAGGATGCAAGAGCCTTGGGAAGTCATGTCGATAGCTTGCGAGCGCGGTGCGACCAGCGAAAGCGGCTAAGTATGGGCCGAAGGGGAAGGATGCAAGGGTAACCTTGGATGGTCGCTCATTCTTACTAAACACGGGTTCACTGTACTCGGACCCCATCTGGGAGGCCTGGAGGAGCGGAGCCATGACGAGGAGGGCCCTGCAGGACGAGCAGCGGTGTCCTTTCCTTCTCTGGAGATGTCTGCATTCCCGCAAGTAAGCGTCCGTTATCTAGGGCTCCCAACTTCGCGCTTCGCGCTGCGCGAAGCGCGAATAACTTCGCGCTCTCGCGCCGCCCTCCCAAAGGGAGAATAGGAGGACGAGGAGGAGGGGGAGAAGGAACGAGGACCGCGAAGCGCGAAGCGCGAATAACTTCGCGCCCTCGAGGGAGCCCTTGGTTATCGGGGGGCAGGGGAGGAGAGGGGCCGGGCCCGCGAGCGCCACAGCATGCTTGTGAGCACCAAGGCAGGCCATCCAGCACCGCGGCATGCCTGCGTACACCGCGCCATGCCAGTGGGGGGGGAGCCAGCAACTCCTCCGCGTACGCTTGGCACCGCTACAGAGACCCATACATAGAAGAGGACAAAACGCTACAAGCATAAACTGTCGGAGCTCCGCGCGGATTTCCTGGATCTGCGCTGGGGCCCTCTCCCTGGCGCGCGGAGCGCGCCAGGGGCGGCGCCGGGAACGCCGCCAGGGGTGCCTAGCGCAGATCCAAGAAATCCGCGCGGAGCGTCGAACATTTATGTTTAGGTGTTGTTGCTCTTCTTCGAGCTTGGTACTGTTACGGGGACCCATACATACGACGATCTGATGCTGTCCGCGGCCCCAAATCTCCCGACCCCTTCCCCGGGGACCCTTTTTCGACCCAGATCCGTGGCTCGGTGCTCCCGGGCCCCGGTAACCGGACCTGGAGGCCGACATCGAGGGGAAACGCCGGGATTGCAAACAATAGGGAAAACATCGTCGGAGATCTGGGCAGGGGGGGGTCCTTATTCTCCTCCTCCTCCTCCTCCTCCTCCTCCTCCTCCTCCTACTCCTACTCCTCCTCCTCCTCTTCCTCCTCCCCTTCCTCCTCTTCCTCCTCCTCCCACTCCTGCTCCTGCTCCTCTTCCTCCTCCTAAGTATCCTTATTCCTTGGTTGAATATACTCTTACTCCCCCCTCTGTCCAGCCGAATCTTCGTCGTTCCTCTCAACATGGCCTGTCTTGTGGTCGACGCTGCGAAATGCGTGGCAGGAATGGAACGCGGCGCGCATCGCGCGCGGACGTCAATTCGGACCTTCCCATCCCGACTGTAGAAAATCAATACAACGTGTCCGTTTGTCCTTTCAACATGGCCTGTCTTGTCGCCGAGGATGCGAGACGCGTAGCACGAATGGGACACGGCGCGCATCGCGCGCGGACGTCAATCCGGGCCCTCCCATCATGAATGCAAAAAAAATGAATACCAAGTTTTCGTTTTTCCTCTCAACATGGTCGTCGACGGTGCGACATGCGTAGCACGGATGGGACGCGGCGCGCATCGAGCGCGGACGTCAATCCGGGCCCTCCCTTTCTGAATGCAAAAAATATGAATACCAAGTTTTAGTCTTTCCTCTCAACATGGTCGTCGACGATGCGAAATGCGTAGCACGGATGGGACGCGGCGCGCATCGCGCGCGGACGTCAATCTGGACCCTCCCATCCGAACTGTAAAGAATCCATACGACGTCTTCGTTATTCCTCTTCGCTTCCCGGAACTCCTCCTGGCCATCCTCGTCCTCGTGGTCGCCCTCTTTGTTCTCGATCCACGGCCCTGATGATAACCTCCTGGGGCCCCCGGGAAAGCGGGGGGGGCCTCCAGAAGTCTCCCAGGGCCTCCTTTGGATTCAGTGGGCCTCGCGGGGTCCCTTTTGTTTTCCAGGGGCTTCCTGGGGGGACGCCTCCTGGGGCGTGGGCTTCCGGGGCGTCCTGGGGCATCCTCGACTCCAACTGAAATGCCCGCGCAGCCCCCAATTGCGCCAGCACTGTTTCTGATGTTGTGGGAGGGCGGGTGGGAATGGGCATGTCATGCGTGACTCGCTCGTCATGTTAAACTTGACTCCTAGTACTCCTACTCCTACTCCTACTCCTACTCCCACTCCCACACCTACACCTACTCCTACTCCTACTCCGACTCCTTCCCCCGTCTCTTCCCCCTACCCTTCCACCTCTCCTTCCCCCTGTTCCCCTTCCCCTCGTCCCTTCCCTCCGTCCCCCCCTCCCTCCCCCGTTTCGGTCCGCTCACCCCCTTCCCCCTCCTCCCCTCTCCCGAGTGTCGCTCTCGCTCTGTCCTTCTCCCTTTGGGGAGGAGGAGCAGGCGGAGGAGGAGGAGGAGGAGGAGGAGGAGGAGGAGGAGGAGGAGGAGGGGGAGGAGGGGGAGGGGGAGGAGGAGGGGGAGGAGGGGGGGAGGAGGGGGGGGGGAGGAGGAGGAGGAGGAGGAGGGGAGGGAGGAGGGGAGGAGGAGGAGGAGGAAGGAGGAGGAGGAGGAGGGGAGGAGGGAGGAGGAGGAGGACGTCCTTGGAGGAGGAGGAGGAGGACGTCCTTGTCCTGGCCCGCCCCGTTGGAGCCAGGCTCCACCCCCCCGCTCGCCGCCCGCTCGCCTGCGCGAGGCGCGCGCGGAGCTCCTCCGCCTCCTGGGCGTCCTCCTCCGCGGCCCGCGCGGCGGCCAGAGCCCGCGCCTCTCCGGCAGGCCCGCCGCCGACGACGCCCACGAGAGGAGAAGAAAACGACGACCTCCTCCTCCTGACCCTCCTCCACCTCCCCCTCCCCCCCCCTCCCTCCTCCTCCTCCTCCTCCTCCCTCCTCCTCCTCCTCCTCCTCCTCCTCCCCCCTCCACCTCCCCCTCCTCCTCCTCCTCCTCCTCCTCCTCCTCCTCCTACTCCTCCTCCTCCTCCTCCTCCTCCTCCTCCTTGTTCGAAGATCCTTGTGTATAGCACTGTGTACTGATTCTGTCTTAGGGCTTCTACCCCAAATGGGGTGAGCGGATTCGCGAGCGTACCATAGCCATCTGGGTTTAGCAGGCGTTGCTAGAAACATTCCCATCATGGTATTGCGGAGCGTGCGTTGAGCCCAATCGCTAGCATCGCCAGCCATGGAGCAAGCGGTGCAACAGTTACAGCAGCAACTGCAGGATCTGAACGGCCAGTTCCAGCAGTACCGCCAGGACTCGCAGGCGCGAGAGCGGGCGCTTGAGAACCAGCTGATCCAAGTTCAGCAGCAGTCACTGGGCCAGTTGGCGGCTCAGCAGGCAGAGCTTCTCCAGAACCTGAAGAACAGGGACAGGGTCCAGCTTGTGGACACCAAGGGAATAGGACGACCTGTTGGCTTCGATGGAACGGAAGAAAAGGTTCTACCCTGGAAGGTGAAAGTCGAGAACTTCATCACCAGCACGTTCCCTGACTTAGAGCCTGTGTTGGAGTGGGCCGAAGAGCACGCGGGACAGATCGACGAAGCCGACGTCACCGTGGCTTACGGGGACCGACAGGATCCCGAGTTTGTTCCGGACCTTCGGAACAAGGAGGCCCAGGTGTACATGGTTCTGCAGCAGCTGTGCGAAAAGGAGCCGTTCGACATAGTGAGCAACTGTGGTCGAGGCAACGGGCTTGAAGCCTGGAGGCGCTTGAACAGGCGCTACGACCCCTCCACTGGCGGCAGGAAGAAGACCCTACTGAAGCACATCCTCAATCCGTCCCGGGTGACGTTGGATGAGCTGTCCGGGGCTATTGAGAAGTGGACCGACAGCGTCCGCATGTACGAGCGACGAAAGGATAGGAACGGCGACAGGAGTTCCATCCCAGATGACATCAAAATCTCTGCTTTAGAGGGCTTGGTGCCGAAAGAGCTAGAAAAACACATGCTTCTCAACAGCGATCGTTTCGATACGTTCGCCAAAGCCATTGAGGGGATCGGGACCTACCTCGAAGCCCGCACAGGGACGAGGCTGAAGGTGGTTGACCACAGCGGCGGCAGGAACCCAGACGACATGGATGTCGGAAGCTTTGTCCGGGGCAGGCCAAAAGGCGCGCCGAAAGGAGGCAAAGTCCCCAAAGGCAAGGGCAAGGACGACAGGCCCTGGGGCGACCGGAAGCCCGCCCAGACGAGCTTCCAGGGCACCTGCGACAACTGCAAGAGGCCAGGCCACAAGAAGAAGGACTGCTGGCGCCCTGGCGGAGGCGCGCACAAGCCCGACGGGACAGGCCAGCCCAAAGCTGGGCCGAAGGGTCCCAAGGGCGACGGCAGAGGCAAGGGCGGAAGAGGCCCCAAGGGCGGCAAGCCCGTCCGGTCCCTCGAAGAGGAGGAACCCGAAGAGGAGGCAGCTGACCAGAGCTACCTCTCCCTGAGCCCGCTTGAGGTGTGCCGCGCTGGCGACCCCGAGGAACCCGCACCAGGTGCTTCGCCTGATGTGGGTCGGCAGGAAGTGGGGCAGAAGCCAGGCGACGGTGCCACCGCAGGGCTGCAGAGAAGCATCTCCGCAGCGAGTTCGGTCCGGATGCACCGAGACGTGGAGTTTTCTCTCCGCAGTGCGTATTCGGACAGGCTTCGTGCGATCAGCGCGGAGATGGAGATGGCCGAGGACGAGGCCACGCTCCAGGAGCTCTTGCTGGAGAAGGCCGAGATCGAGCGGAAGCGCGACTCGATGAAGGCCATGGCGAAAGCTGACGACGACCAGCGGCGCCAGCGGCGCCGCGACCAGCCAGAGAGCTCGACGGATCCGAAGCTGGATCAGAGCCACCACGACGTCAGGTACCGCAAGGCTTGCGAGAAGGGCGTGCCGCACCACCAGGCGTGGTACCACGAGAAGAAGCGCAGGCGTGCTGCCGAGCACAGGAAGAAGGGCGTGCCGGAGCGCGCGGCCGAGCGGAAGCGGCTCGAGGGCAAGTGGCACGAGGAGTTCGACTCCAAGGCGGTCAAGGAGGAGGAGTACCTGACGACCGATCAGGTGCTGGACGGCATGGACGGAGAGGTCGTTGCCGCGGCCGTCGACGGGAACCTGCGCGTGTACGGCGGCGACCTGACGGAGGCAAGCGCTGCCGGCCGCAAGGTGGACAAGTCGGACGTCGTGCTGAAGAAAGAGGACGTCAAGCTCTACAGGCCGCTCTCCCGGCAGGAGCTGCAGTCCTTCCGGCAGGAGGACCCGAACGAGGCCGAGAAGGCCCTCTACCAGAAGGCGAAGGAGAAGCTGGACCGACAGCGCAGCGGCGCTGAGCTGCCCTCTGCTTTTCGGAGGATAGGACCGCAGGCGCGGGAGACGCACAACAGGAAGCAGCTTGCGAAGGCAACTGCTGCCAAGCCCTGCTACACGAAGATGTTCAGCGGCAAGTGCTCTCGCGAGAACTGCCCGTTCTCGCACGACCAGTGCGACAAAGGCAAAGTGTTCTGCGAGCACTTCGAACGGGGCAGGTGCAAGTGGGGAGACCGCTGCAGGTTGATCCACGACGAGAGTCACAGGAACCAGTTCCTGGACGAGCTGGACGCCAAGCGCCGCCGGAGGCAAGACGCGTGGGAGACGGCGGAGGCCGCCGTAAAGGTTAGCACTCTTGCAGGGGCACCTTGGCGAGAAGGCCAAAGCAAAAGCCATCATCTTCATCATCATCCTCACCTCCCTTCATTGTCGTCTTCTCCTTCGGCGTCGTCATCGTTGGGGAAGTGGAAGCAGAAGGAGGAGGAGGAGGAAGAAGAACAGAGTCTGTGCCACCTTGTTCCGGGAGCTACAAAGAAGCACGAGTGGAAGGGGGAGACTCTGTACTGCAACGGTGTGAAGATGGAACGTCACGAGATGAACTTCGACACGGGGGCGGCCATCACGGCTTTCCCGAAAGATTTTGCGACAAGCTATCCCAAAAGCGACCCGACCGTCAGAAAATACAAGACAGCAAGCGCCGAGGAGATCAGTGACGAGGGCGGTAGGAAGGTGTACGGCACGGATGCGAACCTCAATCCGTGTTCCCTGGAGGGTCGCGTTGCCGATGTTCACAAAGTTCTTGTCTCTGGCGTAAAGATGTGTGAGCACAGCGACGTGTGGTTAGGCAACGACGGCGGTTACGCAATCCCTCGGAAAAGTAACTTTGCAATCGAAATGCGGCAACATTTTGAGAAGCTTAGAAGGAGGTATTGTGAGGAGGAGCTTGTACCAATTTATATAAAGAAGGGTGTTTTTGTTTTCGACTACTACTTGGAAGCACCACCAAAGTCAGAACAGGATGAGCCTCTCAACCCACTAGAAGACAGCGTTGGGCCAGCAGGCCTGGCGTCGGGAAACGACCGGCACTCCAGGAGGTAAGGCCGGAAGAGGAGAAGGATGAAGCAGGAGAAGAACAGAGGAGCGCTGACGTGCCTAAAGGGCCGGAGGCGCCAACCGAAAGGGAAAGAGAGGAGCACGAGGCTGCCGGACACGTGGTGCACCGAAACTGGTGTCATCATTGCGTGTCTTCTCGTGCAGTGGACAATCCTCACCATCCAGCTCCCGAGGAGCCGGAAAACGCTGTGCCTACTATCATGTTGGATTACATGTTTATGGGGCAGGCTGGTGAGGAAACGATGCCTATGTTGGCAATCAAGGACAAGAAAACCAAACGTCCTTGGTGCACGGTGATCGAGAGGAAGGGTGAGGACCCTTTCGCGATCAAATTCCTGGCGGAAGCAATCCGCGAGACAGGGTACAGGCGAATCATCCTAAAGTCGGATGATGAACCAGCCATACTGGCCCTGAAGACCAAGACCCGGGAACAGCTGGCAGACGTCGAAGTCGTCATGCAGGAGGCTCCGACGGGCGACCACCGAGCGAACGGTGAGATCGAGGTCATGGTGCGTGAGTTGAAGCGCACAATACGTGCCCTGAAGAGCAGCACCGAGGAGAAACTAAAGCTGAAATTGAAGGACACAGATCCTTTGCTTGCCTGGATTCCGAGACACGCAGCGTTTCTGATGTCTCGATTCCGCGTAGGAGAGGACGGGAAGATCCCCTACGAACGAGCCACTGGGAAGAAGTGGCGACGTCCCCTGGTGCTCTTTGGAGAGCGTCTGTTTTTCAGACCGGTTAAGACTACGAATCGCAAGCACGATTTCGAGTCGAAGGTCTGTGTCGGCAATTACGTCGGCACGCACGGCAGGAATGCTGATGTCATGGTCATGACTGAATAAGGCGTCGTGAAGGGCACCAGTATCCACAGGAAGCCTGAACCTGACCGGTGGGACAACACGGTGTTGTCGAAGCTGAGAGGTCTGCCATGGAACCCGCGGCCTAAAGAACGCGAGGTCATGGCGGCACCCATGCCTGTGGAGGTGCCAGCCGTAGCGGCACCTGCAGTCGAAGCTCCACCGGCCCCTGTGGCACTGAGAGATGTGGCCAAAGCTCTGTACGTTAAGCGTGCAGATATTGACAAGCACGGCATTTGGCCGGGTTGCAAAGGGCGCACGTCTCTGATGACAGGAATGCACCAACAGGCTCACTCGATCATGTGTCGAGCACGGATTCAGGAAGAGCTGATGAAGACAGCTGCAGGTAGACAGCGCGTTGAAGAGGCGAAAAGGAGGAGGAGTCCCGAAGAGGCCTCCGAACCAGTGGTAGAAGACAGGCCAAATCCCCTAGAATGGGGAAGTGGCGGCCGAAGAGGCAGCAGGAGCGCCCATGGCCGTAGAAGAAGGAGGCCTAGGAGGAAGGAAAAGAGGACGAGAAGGAGGAGAACAGGAAGGAGGGGCGCCAGAAGCGCCAGTGGCCGTAGACGCGGCAAACGCGGCGGGCGAGGCAACGGCTCCAGGTGTTTCGCCCGGGGCTGTTGCGTTACCACTGAAGGGGCCCTGGAACACACAAATAAATACACACAAATAAAATGATTCCCCATATTTTCCCATATTTTCTGGGTTTTTGTCTTCCCCCCCAATTCCCATATTTTCCCATATTTTCTGGGAATCGCCGATTAATTGTGTCTGTGTTTTTTTTTCCTCCTGAACCACAACATCCCGCGCAAGAAAGAGACTCTGCAAGATCAGCGGGCGAGGCGGCGGCTCCGGGTGTTTCGCCCGGGGTTTGTCGCGCTACGACGCAATCCCGCGCAGGAAGGGGGCTCTTCAGGATCGGCAGGGCCAGGCGGGAACGAGTCCCATCGCGATGTCGAGATGGGGCAGGCTGGCTGCTTGTGCAGCCTGGCGGAGGCAGTGGCCGAGGCGTGCCACATGGCGAGCATTGCGGTCAGCGGTGCTGATGTTTCGAGTATGTGTGATGTCCTGAGTACTTTGGGACATGGCAGGTTCGATGCTGCAAGCATCATGAATCCTCCCTCCGCGTCGGTGAACGGGAACGACGTTCAATCAGGCATATTTGGTCTAAGGCCAGGTTTCGCGCTCGACGCTGCCGTGTGCGATGTTCTCCAGAAGGGACATGCGACCAAAGTGTGGGATCTGTCTGATCAGGGACACGTGATCCAACTTCAGGCAGCACTGAACGATGAAGACCCATACGTCTTGGTATTGAGGCCACCGCTTGAAGCTTTCAGCGGAGTGGTGAACGGAAAAGGTGCCTGCAGCGAGGAACGCGCGAGACGCGCGATGAAGGTAATTGTTGATTTGTGCATTGAACGACAAAACAAAAGAAAATATTACCTTCTAGAGAGACCCGCTGGCATGCCCGGCTGGGCAGAGCAGGAGTTCGCAAGACTCGGCGGCATACAGACTGTAGGGCCGAAGTGTCGTTGGACCGTTCAGAGCCAGAGCGAAGGTACCTACATGCGAAAGAGCACTGTTTGGGTCACTAATTTTCAACACCTTGCCGAGTTCATCCGGCAAGAATCCGAGAGAAGAATGGGTGTAACTTGGCACAGGCGCGTCGTTGAAGTCGACGGTCGGCTCGTAGAGAGCGGCCGGAAGCCCTGGGCAATCCAGGTCGCCATCCTCACTTCGATGTTGCACGCTTCAGAGGAGAAGGGTGAGATATGTTCCTTCGGGCAGGTTGTTGGAGCCGGACCTGTGCCAGAAGAAGGGGCAGAGATAGAGGAAGAACCTGGTGTATACTTCGACGATGTCACCGGGGCAGAGACCGAACTAGAGTGGATCAGAAAACAAAAGGTCTACGTCAAGGTCCCCATCAAGCAGTGTTGGGACCGAACGGGCAAAGGCCCGATATCCCTGAAGTGGGTGGACACGAACAAAGGCGACGACACTAACGAAAAGTATCGTAGCAGGATCGTGGTTCGAGAGATCAGAAAGAACGGAAAGAGAGCACTGCCGGACCACGAGTTGTTTAGTTCGATGCCCCCGCTTGAATCACTGAAGATGCTGTGCTCTATGCTGACCACACTGAAGGTGAGCAAAGGGCGGAGGAAGCATCTGAAGCTGAAGCTGTTCGACATATCCCGTGCCCATTTCTATGGTGTTGCCAAACGGGAGGTTTACGTGTCTCTCCCGGAGGGAGACCAACAGAAAGGATATTGTGCGCTGTTGCAGCGCTCAATGTATGGCACGCAAGACGCGTCGGCCATCTGGCAGGATGACTACACCAGCCTCCTCGAACAGAACGGCTTTAAACGAGGACGTGCTAGCACGGCGGTGTTTTATCATGCAACAGAGAACATAAGGATCCTGGTGCATGGTGACGACTTTGTCGTTTTAGCTGACGAAGACGGGCAGCAGAAAGTAGAAACACTACTCCGTGCACGGTACGATCTTAGACTAGAAGGGTGTGTTGGCCCAGAGGCCAGCGACGGCACAGAGATGTGTGTGCTGAACAGAACGATCAGGTACAACAAGGAGAACGGCGTGGTTGAGTACGAGGCAGACCAGCGCCACGCTGAGCTGATCATCAAAGCACTGGGATTAGAGAAGGCGAAAGCCGTGACAACGCCAGCCGAGAAGAAAACGGCTAGCGCCGTGTCGGCGGCACTGTCGCTGCCGAAGGTGGATGAAGAGCGACAGAGGTTCTACAGGTCTTTGGTCATGAGGGCGTCCTATCTAGCACAGGACAGGGCGGACTTGTGCGAGTGCGTCAAGTCACTTGCTCGAAAGATGATTGGACCGACCGAAGCTGACTTCGCAGACTTGAAACGTCTAGGTCGTTACCTGGTGGGCAGACCCCGGGTAGTTCTGCGCTTTGAACCACAAAAGATGTACAAGGACATCACTGTCTATTCAGACTCAGATCACGCAGGGTGTCTTGTCACACGAAGAAGCACCACGGGCACAGCCGTGCTCATGGGCAAACACTGTGTGAAGGCATCGTCTGGACTCCAGAGCACCATCGCTCTCTCGAGTGGTGAGAGCGAGTTCTACGGAATCGTCAAAGCTGCTTCAATTGGTTTGCAAGTTCAAGCGCTGCTAGCCGATTGGGGTTATAATGCAAATGTGACGGTGCTCACAGACAGTAGTGCTGCACGTGGCACCTGCGCCCGGCGAGGGCAGGGGAAGCTGAGGCATGTGCAGACCCGCTACTTGTGGGTCCAGGAAAGGGTGGCGCGAAGTGAGATCGATGTGCAACAGGTAGGGACAAAGAACAACATCGCAGATATGTGCACGAAACCTGTCAACGGAGATTCCCTCACAAAGTTTATGAAGATGTCGAGCCACTATTTTCTGAGCGGCCGGGCGGCGACAGCAAAGCATTTAGTGAAGGTGTAGGTATAGTAGCGCACTCGGTTCAGGTCAGCAGAACCTCCCGCGAGGAGGAGTGTTCGAAGATCCTTGTATATAGCACTGTGTACTGATTCTGTCTTAGGGCTTCTACCCCAAATGGGGTGAGCGGATTCGCGAGCGTACCATAGCCATCTGGGTTTAGCAGGCGTTGCTAGAAACATTCCCATCACTCCTCCTCCTCCTCCTCCTCCTCCTCCTCCTCCTCCTCCTCCTCCTCCTCCTCCTCCTCCCTTTTCCCTGTACACAACTTCTCCCTGTCGCACCCCGAGGCCAGCTGTCAGGGCGGGCCGGGCGTTTCGCCTGAGACTTCCTCATCACAGATGACCCCGAAGCTCAGGAATTGGCAACAGTTTGACAGATGGAGCGCGGGTCGTGTTCAACATGTGGCTCTGGCCCTAGCGCCGTGCACATGTTTTTTTTTAACAAAAAAAAACCTGTGCAAGAGTTTTGCGGATTGAGGGCGAGACGTTTTCAAAATGTGGCTCTCGCCTTAACGCCGCGCAAATTCGTTTCAAACTTTGCAAGGATTTCGCGGATTGGGGGCGGTTCCTTTTCAACAGAAGGATTCCGGATTATGAGGGTGCAACTGTTACATTGATTCGCTGTGTTGAAGTCCCAGGAATGGCGTTCTGGCACGATTCAGGATCGTCAAGACGCAACCGTCAGGCTGATCCGTGGCGTTGGAATCCCGAGAACAATATCTTGGCATGCTTCAGGGTCTTGAAACGGTTGCTATCCGACAAGGCAGTTCGCTCAGTGTAAATGAACCGTTGTGGGGGAGTGTATTCCAACATCGTTGATGAATCTTGCCTCCTCCTCCTCCTCCTCCTCCTCCTCCTCCTCCACGTGTTCCTCATCCTCCTCCTCCTCCAACTCATTCTCCTCCCCTCCCTCCTCCTCCTCCTCCTCCTCCTCCTCCTCCTCATCATCATCATCATCATCATCCTCACCCTCACCTTCATCCTCATCCTCATCCTCCTCCTCCTCCTCCTCCTCCTCCTCGTCATCATCATCATCATCATCATCATCATCATCATCATCATCATCATCATCATCATCATCACCATCAGCATCATCATCATCATCATCAGCATCATCTCACCATCAACTCACCATCACCATCACCATCATCATCATCATCATCATCATCATCATCATCATCATCGTCATCGTCATCATCATCATCATCATCATCATCATTATCATCAGCAGCATCACCATCACCATCGGCAGCAGCAGCCAGCAGCAGCATCATCGTCAGCATCATCATCATCATCATCATCACCATCACATCATCATGATCATCATCATCATCGTCGTCATCATCATCATCATCATCATCATCATCATCATCATCATCATCATCATCATCATCATCATCATCATCATCATCATCATCATCATCATCATCATCATCATCATCATCATCAGCAGCATCATCATCATCTTTCTCCTCCTCCTCCTCCTCAGCCTCTCCCATTTTCCTCCTCCCCCTCCTCATCCTCCTTCCTCCTCCTCCTCGTCCTCCTGCTGCTCCTCCTCGTCCTGCTCCTCCTCCTCCTCCTCCTCCGCCTCCTCTTCCTCCTCCTCCTCATCCTCCTGCTCCTCCTTCTCCTCCTCCTCCTGCTCCTCCTGCTCCTCCTCCTCCTCATCCTCTTCCTCCGGAGGCACGGGGCATGGAGTGCGTGCAACGCTCAAGGCGAGAAGAGCGAGACGAACGACCTCCAAGTCGGGGACGAGGTGGCTTTCGCCCAGATGTCCACCAACAGCAAGTTGGCAGGCTCGCGACGCGCGGAGGCCGGACTCTTAGAGCGCGACTGGCCAGCCTGAAGCAGGCAGACCACAGAGAAGACCAAAAAAGACGCCTTCCGTGGGCGCGACGAACAAGAACTTCACACACCGAACATCCCGGCCGCACTGGTGACCCAGAACTCCGACGTCGTGTTTGTGCCACGACGTGGACCCCCTGAGCACTGGACCACTCCCCCGGGTCAGGCTTTCCATCCTAGGCCGTTGCTTGACTATCCCGGGGCCAAGCAAGTCAGGCTCCATGGAGGCTGGGAGCGACCGAAAACCTCCCGTCGCTGTTTTTGCCAACGACAAGCAAAGGTGGGGGAGGAAAGGGAGGTAGTATTGGGTGGTGGTGGTGGTGGTGGTGGTGGTGGAGGTGGTGGTGGTGGTGGTGGTGGTGGGCAGCGACTTTGAGGTATTCAGTGCGCGGTGGTCCGCATAGTAGCGGGGGGGCGCCGCTCCTGGCCTGGCTCGCCGCGACGCGGCCTGCGGCGTGGAGACGAGCGCAGGGGCAGGAAGAAGGACGGGGGAGGAGGGGGAGGGAGGAGGGGGACGAGATGGGACGAGCGTCGAAACACCAGGGACGGGAGGGGGAGATGAGGAGGGGGAGGGAGGAGGGGGAGGGAGGAGGGGGACGAGATGGGACGAGCGTCGAAACACCGTGCTACCAAAAGGCACGCTGAAGAGGGAACGAAAGGGCGTCTCAGGTCACGGCGAGCCCCGGCCACGAATAGGTTCCCCGCCCATGTGCTGAGGAACGGCCGGACAGCCAGAGCCCCTTCTGAGCCGAAAACGGTCCCTATCTCAACGACTTGACTGCAGGAAGAGGAGGAGGAGGAGGGGGAAGAGAGGAGGAGGAAGAGAGGAGGAGGAGGAGGAGGAAGAGAGGAGGAGGAGGAGGAGGAAGAGAGATGGAGGAGGAGGAGGAGGAGGAGGAGGAGGAGGAGGAAAAGAGGAGGAGGAAGAGAGGAGGAGGAGGAAGAGGGAGGAGGGAGGAGGGAGGAGGGAGGAGGGAACGAACCATGGAGGGAGGAGGGTCGAGGATAGCCGGGAGCGCCGGGGCAGCAGGAAGGCGGGTGGGCGGCCTCGTTCCGCTCGCGGGCCTCCCGCAGCTCCTCCCCCAGCGCCTCCTGGGAGCAAGTGGGCAGGTTGGGCGCCCGAATTATCCGGGGTAACTCGGGTCCGGGGTAACTCGGGTTTGGATTCCCAGAAAAGGAACCCGAGTTAGCCCTGACCCGAGTTATCCCTGATGATTCGGGGCTCTGGACGCCCGAGTTATCCGGGGTAACTCGGGTCCGGGGTAACTCGGGTTTGGATTCCCGGAAAACGAACCCGAGTTATCCCTGACCCGAGTTACCCCTGATGATTCGGGGCTCTGAGCAGGGGGAGGGGGGCGCGGGGCGCGGGGGGGCGGGGCCCACAGAGTGGAGACCTCGCCACCGCTCGGACGTCCATTCCCTTTGTGTCTTGTTCGGTTTCGGTTTCGTGCGTGTTTTTGTCGCCAAATGACCAAGGATGCTCCTCGACGGCCCTCGCCGAGGGAAAAATGCACACGTCCGAGCGATGCCAAGAGACTGCGCCTGCGCGCCGTGCCAGGGCGCGGCCCTGCGCGGGGCTTGGCTGTGGCGCCAGGGCGCCGACACCGATCCTGGCCGATCCAACCAACACTGAAGACCCCGTTGTGGTGTCGCTGTGCGTCGTCCTGTGCAGTCCGGTAACGAGGTCGGGTTGCGGCAGTACAGGACCGCATCAAGCCGACATTCGCCGCCGGCGCAGAGGTGAACTGGAGGCATCCGCCCTTGCCCTCCCCCCGCCAGGTCGATACCCTCTACGGCCACTCCGACGCTGTGGGAGGAGCGGCCCAAGCACCCGGCTGCTCCCAAGTTTTGTTGCGTGGGCCCCGGGGGTCGGGCCGGTTTCTGACTACCTACCAGACCACCCCAACCCAACCCGAAGACCCGAATTTCGGGTTGGGGGGGGTACGGGTTCCATATGTGTTTTCTCGATGTTCCACGACCCCCCCCACCGGAAATCGAGGATAAATTGGGGCCTTCGGGTTGGGTTGGGGTGTTTTGGTGGGTGGTGAGTTTCGTCCCGAGTCGTTGTTTGAGCCTGTGTGTTTTTAGGCTCCGGCAGGTTTCCCTGCGTGGACGGGGAGCAGGCGCTGGCCCTGCAGCGAGCCGCAGGCGACTTGCACGTGCGGAAGTCACCCAAGTCGAAATGCACTTGCGCGCTAGTCTTCGTGTGAAGAGGGGCGAGGGAGGAGGAGGAGGAGGACGAGGAGGAGGAGGGAGGAAGAGGGGCGAGGGGAGGAGGAGGAGGAGAACGAGGACGAGGAGAACGAGAACGAGGAGGAAGAGGGGAGAGGGGGGGGGCGAGAACCACGGAAGCAAACTTGCCTGAATATGGCAAGAATAAGCTCTTTGACGCTCCCGAGACCCAGCAAAGGCCCCTGGAGGCCGAAATCAGCCCAAAACCGTCCGCTCCAGTTTTTGTTGGAGCTCCGGATCTCTGGGGAGGAAGGGGAAAAGGGAAGGACGTCGGGCGTGTAGGAGAGGCCAGCTCTGGGCCTCGAAGAATGCCTGAAGGGGAGGTGGGGAGGGGGCGGCCAATCGGAGTGACGAGGTTCGGGGGGGGCGAGCGGCGAGAAGAAGCTTCCATCGGCTGCGAGGCTGGGGGGGAAGGATTCGCGATCCGTGGAGCTGGCGCGCGGTCGCCAAGTCCATGGATCGGGGGAGATGCCCTCCCCAAAATGCGGCCAGTGCCGCCTCGTTCGGCGGCGGAAATCCGCGACTTTCCATGGAAGCGGGGCCCGTCGCTAAACCACGCCCCCTTGATCCATGTTTGCGATCGCCTGAGAGGCTGGGGGGGGGGGTGCACATAGCGTGAAGCACAGAGTCTGGGGCACAGAAGAGAGGAGGAGCCACAGCAGGAGCAGCAGGAGCAGCAGCAGCAGCAGCAGGGGCAGGGTTAGAGGTCGAGGTGAAGGAGGGGGGCGGGGGGAGGAGAGGGGAGGGAGGAGCCAGGAGGCAGGAGACACGAGGGGCGGCGCAGACGGTGCAGAAGGGGCCGAGAGGCAGCCTGGCAGGTCAACCTCTCGGCGGGCGCCCGACGACGCATGCGCCGCGGCCGCCCAGTTCAACCACGACCGCGCGTAATTTACGAGGGACAACGGAGGGTGGAGGACGGACGACGCACGACGGACGAAAGGCTAACGATGGACGATCGACATTTGACGAGGTGCCCACTGGCCAGGCCGCCCCGTGAACGTGGCTCCCCGCAGAGCACTGCCCCGTGTAGGCAATCGCATGAAAATCCTACCCCCTGCAGGTCAGATTGCTGAAACGCCGTCTGGGTTCAGAAAACGAAGGATCTCCGCAGCCAGGTGAACCCCAGCGGGGGTACCCGAGGCCCCAGCGACCACTGGACCCGCAGGGTAGGGCTCGCCAGTGGCTGCAGACAGTGCCAGCCCTGACCCAGGGCGCTCCTCCTCCCTCTGGAGCCTGTCGTTCTCCTGCTCCAGGAACGTCACCTCGCGACGGGTGCTGTCCTTCGGCGGCGCGCAACAGGGGGGAGGGGGAGGGGGGCAGACTTCTTCGGAGGAGGCTGCCTCTTAGAAGGCACCAGCCTCGCCTTCTAAGACGCAGGGGTGCTTCGAAGAAGCCTTCCCCCCTCCCCCTGCCCCCCTCTGCGCAAGGCCGAGTCCTGCCACGCGCCCTCCGCGGACCGCTCCGCCTGCAGCTGCCCCATGAGCAGGCTGTATGCCTGGCTGGTGCGCAGCTGCTCCGCACCCAGCTCGCGGCGGCGCTCCTCCTCGGCCATCCTCTTGTGGACGTGGGCGGCCCGGAGCTCCACCTCGCCCATGTTCCTCAGCTGTCGCCGCGACATCCGCTCCTCTCGAGGCGCAAAAGCGCGGATCTCGTGGATCCGCGCTGGGCCTCCCTGGCGGCGCCTCCGTCGCCGCCCCATGGCGCACCCCGCGCCACGGGGGCGGGGGTCCGGCGCGGATCTCGAAAGGTCCGCGCGGAGCTCCTACACAGTTTGTCCATGCTGTTTCCCCCCCCCATCCTTGGCGATCTGGGCGCGCAGCTCCGACTGCACGTGCGAGGTCTCCACCAGCTGCTGCTCCAGCGAGTCGCGGATGCCCCAGGCGCCGGCGAGCTGCTCCTCGGCGTCCTCGACCCTCCTCGACAGCTCGCTCTCCTCGCACGCCCACTCCTGCGCCAGCGCCTGGCACTCCGCCTCCTCGCTGAGCAGCTCGCCCCCGAGGGCCTGGCGCACCGCCGCCGCGCGCGACAGCTCCGCCGCCACCGTGGCGCCGGCGCCCGCCAGCCGGCAGGAGAGCGCGCTGATGCTGTAGCCCTGCCGGCTGCACTGGTCCCGCAGCTCCTCCATCTCGAGTGCCAGGCGGCCCTGCTCGGCCTGGGCCGCAGCCCGCTCGCTGGCGTACTCCCTCAGCAGCTCCTCGTCCTGCTCTCTGCGCACGAGGCTGGGGGAGCTCCACGGCAGCCCGGGCGAGCCGAAGGAGCTGCCGGGTACCCGGGCGCCGCTCTGGCCGAGGCCGCGGCATCCGCTCCAGCCGCTCCCCTGCAGGCCGCCCCGAAGCGAGGCTGGGGGAGCGTAGGTCGGAGGATGCAGACGCTCCAGAAACTCTCCGGAGGTCGTTTTGTATTTTTCGGCGATAGCCCCGGGTCATCCAGCAAAGGGGGAGGGGGGGGAGGGCCGATAACCTGACCTTTTCGCTTTGGGCAGCCCCACGTATGCTCGCGCGCACCAATACCGGGCACCCGCTTCGGGCCTGCGCAACCGACAAGATCAGCTTATCCTGGGGGTGAGGAGCGGGGGGCGGGGCGGGCCCTACCATCCGGGTGATCGTCGGACGTCTGGGCACCCCAGCACGAGTTCTTGGGACGCCAAGCCAGAAGGTAGTGATACTGCTGCTCACCGGACGTCTCCCGGAGCGCGTTCTGACCAGGATCTCCAGCGGTGGCAAGAAGGCATCTCACGAGGCCCACAAAGGCGAAAACGAGGGAAAATTGCCTCCTCTGGTTTGCCGCGCTGCTGTGGTACGTATCGGTACTTGTTCCTCCTCTGAGCCAATGCGCATCGCGCCTGTGGAAGGCAAGACTGCATCGGGGCCCGAATGACCCGGGTCAATCCGCACCCGGGTCAGCCGGGCCGTGCAGGATCCTGCAAGATCCTGCGCCCAAACCTGGGACAATGCGACCCTGGCTCTGCAAGATCTTGCACTCTGCAGCTGCGTCGGCCCGGCTCCCGACCGCGCCGCACCGCCGCGTAGCAGCGGCGATGTGCTGCGCGGTCCTGCGATGCACCCCCCTCTGCAGAAGCCCCGCGAGGTCTGCCTGGGGGCTGCGGAGGCCTCCAAAGGCCTCCAGGAAACCCCCAAGCACCGTTCGACCTGGGGGCTGCGGAGGCCTCCAAAGGCCTCCAGGAAGCCCCCAAGCACCGTTCGAACATGCCCGTGGTCAGTTGGCCTCGAGGCGCTCGTGGCGCTCACCGCGCTCCAGGCCCACTGCAGCACCAGGCTGCAGTGACTGCAAGAAGCGCTTGCAGAACGAACAAGAGCACACACACACGTCGCCGCGCTTCGATCCTGAGCCATTCCACCACGAGATCCAAAACTAGTTGGATTCGTCGAAGACGTTGGAGCGACGAAGACGAAAAGAGACGGGTGTTACGCGAGAAGACACAGCGACCTCACGCCGCGTCCCATGCGGGCTGCCAGCGCGGCGCGCCGCGTGGAGAAGAGAGCGCTTGCACGTGACTTCCCGCGGCACGCGCGAATGTCCGCCACGTCAATCCCGGATTCTCCCACTGTTCAATTGGTTCTGGTGGATCATCAACATCAGCAGCAGTAGCATCATCACCATCATCATCAGCAGCAGCATCATCAGCAGCATCATCATCATCAGCATCATCATCACAATCAGCATATCATCATCTACATCATCACAAGCCTAATCCTCATCCTCATCATCCTCCTCGTCTTCATTATCATCATCATCTTCCTCATCGACAATCACGATCATCACGTTATTCATACCCATCGTATGCCACAACCTGCCTCGTCCTCTTCTTTTCCACTTCATCACCGGACCACCATCGTCATCGTCATCGTCATCATCTTCCTCATCAGCGTCACTGCCATCATCATCATCACCACCATCACCAGCAGCAGCATAAATCATCATCACCATCATCATCGCCATCGCTATCGACATCATCATCCTCATCTTCATCATCATCACCATCATCATTATCATCCTCACCAGCAACACCAACATCATCGACACCATCAGCAGCAGCATCGTCATCGCCATCGTCACCGCCATGGTCACCATCAGCAGCACCATCATCACCTTGATCGTCCTCATCGAGTCGAACTGCTGCAGCCGAGAACGCGGGACTAGCACGGCGGCGAGACTTGCCGCGGGCAGCTGATTTTTTGGTGGTCGCTAACTGAACGAAAACGGCACCGATTGGGCGGCCTGGGCCCCCACGAACGAGCCGCCGGCTGCCGCCGCGCAGGGCCAGCGCTCTCCCGCGGGCGCCCTGGGGCGGCAGGGTGGAAGGCGCGAAACATACAAACACAAACGCACATACACACACAGTCAGACTTGTTTGGCGTCGCAGCCCCGCGCGCAGCGTCGACGTACAGCAAATCGAGCGAAGAGACGCGCGCGGCATGGGGACACTGGGCCAACCCACGATGGGCCCACAGTGCCACTCGTAGGCGTAGTACGCGAGGAGAAGAGGGGCGACGGGGAGAACGACAAACAAGCGGACACACACAAACAAAGACACATCCACACTTTGTAAGCCAGCGGCGCAGAGGATCCTCAGGCGCGAGCAGCAGATGGAGGTGCTGATTGCGATCGAACGTTGTCGATGGCACAATGTACAAAACGTGGACAGCGTCAACGCAGCGATGGGTGGTGTGAAGGAGGAACTATGTTTATATATATATATATATATATATATATATATATATACATACCCACACGCGCGCGCGCGCTTTGTGAATCCAGCGGCCGAGTGACGTCAATGTAGCGAGAGCTCAAGCGGGGCGCACCCATCGCCAATTCCACATGGCGCTGCAGATGACGGACTCTGCGAGGCAAACCGACGTGCAGAATTAGCCGGGCGAGGGACCCAACCATATGCAGTCGTGAATGCCGCAATTGTAAATATTTTCCTCGGTGGCGCTCCGTATGGGGCCACGAACCGTATGAGGGGTGCGCCGACTTGCGTGGCGGGGTACACAACACGAACGAATACGATAGGTTTACTTACGAAAAGGAGGGGGCGGGTGAGTCTCAGCGCGAGTGAGTATGAGTGTGAATAAATCTGCGCGCGAATGAGCATATTTGCATGAATGCGAGCATGGCCACATTTAGAATCTACGAATGTGGGTGGTTCACGTATGCTTGACCCTGAGTATTCGTGACACTGGGCGCGGCCGCCGCAGGAAACTTCCCCTGGAACCCCGACAGCAATGCCTGCACGCCGCGACGCCCATGTCGGCACGCTCCTCACGAGGATCGCGCCCGCTTCCTTCCCGGTCGGTTTCTCCATCTTTGTCCGTACGCGCCCATGTCCGAGGCTGCGGGCGCGGCGCCGCACAAAGTCCCCGCGACGCGCGTTGGTCGCCCCGGAAGGGTCCCGGCGACTCACGCGGGTCGTCCGCTGCGCTGATCCCAGAGAGCTGGCTGGCTGGCTGATAGCGGGCGAGGCTGTCCGCTGGACAGAGCGACGACGGGGACGAGCGAGGCTCTGGGCAGAGCGCAGCGCGGAATTCCAGCGACGCGCGCTGGTCGCCCCGAGAGGGTCCCAGCGACGCGCGCTGGTCGCTCCAAATGGGGCGGCGGCATGCGAACTGCGACACTGGGACCTTGGGTAGAGCTCCCTATGGGGCCACGAAGCGTGTGATGGGTGTGCCCAAGTGGGGCGGCGACGCAATGCGAACTGCGCCACTGCGACCTTAGAATGGAGCTTTCGATGGGGCCACGAAGCGTGTGAGGGGTGTGCCAAAATGGGGCGGCGGCGCAATGCGAACTGCGCCACTGGGACCCTAGGTGGAGCTCCCTGTGGGGCCACGAAACGTGTGAGGGGTGTGCCAAACTGGGGCGGCGGCGCCATGCAAACTGCGCCACTGAGACCTGAGGTGGAGCTCCCTCTGGGGTCACGAAACGTGTGAGGGGTGTGCCAAAATGGGGCGGCGGCGCCATGCGAACTGCGCCACTGGGATCTTAGGTGGTGCTTTCGGTGGGGCCACGAAACGTGTGAGGGGTGTGCCAAAATGGGGCGGCGGCGGCGCCATGCGAACTGCGCCACTGGGACCTTAGGTGGGGTTCCCTGTGGGGCCGCGAAACGTGCGAGGGGTTTACCGAAACAGAGACATGATGGAGGCAGGGGCAAGGACTGGGAGAAGGGAGGAAGGGGAGGAGGGAGGAGGAGGAGGAGGAGGAGGAGGAGGAGGAGGAGGAGGAGGAGGAGGCGGGAGGGTGGGAGGGAGGGACGCGTGGCGCTCTCTCTTCAAAACGAGGACCCAACAACACAGGTTGGTTGGGAAAAAGAAGCTGCACTAGGGGAGCGGGCGTGCGACAGACAATTTCCCCTGAGTTTGTGGACTGCGCTGGGCAGGTCGGCGTGCCAAGGTGAGAGAGCAGCAAAGCCAGCGCATGCAAGCGCACACACACACACACACACAGCGCCCGCCGACGCCACGAGGGGGAGGGCTGATAGACGGACAAGTCCGATGGGACGCCCGAGAGCGACACGCACCCCCCCGCCGCACCCGTCAGAGGCGGCAAGATTGCAATTCAGGCCGGCCATAACGAGCGCTCAGATGACCGTGCCGAGTCCGAGTCTGCGGCGAGTGTGGAACACTGGACGCGGCACTGCGGGGGGGGCACAGCTCCGAAATGTTCACTAAGCGTATGTGTGGGGGGGTATGCGCTCCGAACAAGACTTCCTGGCGCCAGTTCCGGCTGTGGCGACGAGCCGAGAATCCATGAAGGGGGGGGGGGGCGACCTCTGGCACGCCCGACCATCACCACAAGGACGGTGAAGGACACACGAATACCATGTGCTGACGTTGGAAGCGTGCGCCCGCCCCGAACATGCGGTACAAACACCTTGTAGCACATCGTTTCCCGAGCGGTATGGCCAGAAAGCGCAAAACCACGGAGCACAGGCTACTACCATAAGACTCTTCGGAGCGCGCGTCGCCCCTGGGGGGGAGCGACCCGCACATAGCATTGGTATGCTGGTGTGGCGCCGTACCCAGCACTGGCGGACGAGCAGGCGTGCTACCGCCCATGGGTTGGTCCCCCTCAGATGAACTCTCGTTGGCACCGATGTTTGTTCCACATCTGAACTTCGGGCCCAGGGCACGAGGGCGGGAGCGCGTTCCGAGCAAAATCCCACGACGACGGATCCAGCCGTGAGGACGAGGGCCCCCCCCAAGGGTCCCCTGGAGACGAAAACGAGGGAAGCCCAGCATCGGCATCGGCATGTTTCTTATCCTCCTCCTCCTCCTCCTCCTCCTCCTCTTCCTCCTCCTCCTCAATCACATGTTTCAAAAGAGAAGCAGGGACCACCGCCTCCGAGAAACCATCGGGACGGGGCAGCCAAGCGGGAGGCTCGCAGGTCATGGCCCCGAGCAAGTGCGCGACCCGGGGGGGGGGCCAGGGGACGTGCTGCAACGAGGGGGCCATAAAATCCGTCGGCCCTGTCGGCGTGTGGAAGACGCTGTCGTCGTCGTCGTTCGTTCGTTCGCTCGCGAAGCTTAAGACCCCTCCGGGGTCAGCTGTCTATCACCGTTCTCAGCTGTCTATCACCGTTCACTGCTCACTGTTCAGAGGCGGTCGGCGCGGTTCCGGCACCGCTTGCGCCACCGTGGGAGCCCGTCAGGAGCTTTTGTAAGAAAACCGCACACTCCTCTAGTGCAAGGGCCTCGGCTTGAAAGGAAGAAATCGGCGTTGCGAAGAATGATCCCGACATTGCGACAGGCCCGAAATTCCAAGCGCCATCGATGAAGCGCCCTACTTCCACAACCCAACCTGTGGCAGAGCAGCTCTGAGCTTTGGTACCTCCATCTGCATGGACTAAGACATTGCAGCTATGAAGTGCAACGCCTTGAGAAGAGTTACCGAAGCGTTTGCTCCAAGATCGCTGGGAGTCCATTGTGAAGTTCACCAGAAAGTCAGCGACTAAGTTGTGTTCGCGCTTGCGCCACAGCACGGGGTCACGCCACACATGTGGAGGAAACCGCCCTTCACTAATAAACTTGGCCAAAATTGTCGCAGATGCCCGTGAAGATCTGTTCTGAAGCTGGATCACTCAGAAGTAGCAAGCCCATTGGGATGCGCTGCGCCGGCTGGCAATCCACCACGAAAGCAAGTCGACGTTTGAGACCGCCCCATTCGACGTGACGATCCGCGTCTGCAAGACTATGTTGGGCCGGGCAGTCTTCCAAGACATGGGAACTGCGAGCCTTCTTCGCCCGCGGTGGCAAGCAACTGTCGGGCGTGCTGGCCACGCGCGCCGGTAGTTCGGGCAGACCAAACGCTTGGCACACAGCATTCGCGAAGCACTCCAGGTTCGCGCGCCGCACCTGGCAAGACGGGCAGGAGTCGCGAACAAGCCGCCACTGCTCACCGTACACTGCGCAGAATACATCTTCCCATGCAACGGGGTGACTGACGACGCGCTGGGCCGCGCCGTGGGCGCGCCCCCACTTGTAGGGAAGCTGCCGGGCGCCGCCCCACCACTCCCGGGGATGGTACATCCGCAGTGCGCGGAAGTGGTTTGCGAAGGCACTGTCTGGATGATGCTTTTCTCGCCAGGCACTCTGAAATACGCTCCTCAAAACACGATGGTGAAGCATGAGAACTCCGAAATTGTGGAACCATTTGACAATCGGGTTGGATGTCCGGCTGTTGTACTCCATGCAGCCCTCGCCAGGCCGTCGCCGCAACTTTAAAATCTCTCCCAACCGACGTCCAGAGCGTCGGCGCTGTCACTGGCAAGACCGCCGACGCACATAAACTCAAGGGAAACGCGTTTCCAAATCAACTTGTGAAGAAACGACTGCACGAGTCAGTTCCGCAGTCATCTGGCGGTACTGATCCAACCCAAACGCAAATAAAAATATGTTATCTGCCCAAACCATGTGAGATATGAGAGGAACGTCGTCTCCAGGGGAATATCCGAGGCCACGCCTTTGCCAATCTTCCACCAAAGGCTCCAGCACGAACTCTAAGAACAAGTTGAACTCATCAGGCGTGTCTGGCCCGCCTTGTGTCCCACCCCATTGAAGGTCGAATGGCTCTGAAGATCCAGCCCTCGGCACGCGAACCCGGGCAGTGAGTCCGGACACTCGCGGGCGAAACTGCGAACAAGAGCTGGATGCACACCGCGTTCCAACATGGCGTCGGTCAGGATCTCGTGGTCCATGGAGTCAAAAGCAAACGCTATGTCCTGCGCCCCCCCACCAGCTGTCGGCCCCATTTGTGGGCAGAGCAAACACACTTACGGAGAACGGACACGAGATCGTCACTGCAGAAACCCCGTTTGAAACCGATGCTGATGACGCGGGATGGCGGTACCAGAGGGCGAAGAACACGAAGAAGACTACGTGTGAACGACTTCTGCATGCAGTCCAGCTGCGAGAGCCATCTGAAAAGGTCGAAGCTGTCCGAAGCTCGTCTTTTTGGGCAGGCCCGCGTATTCGATGACCCGCCAGTGCGGCATGTCCTCGGAACTCAAGCTCGACAGGCGCGCGGAAAAATGCTACCAAAAGGATGTGGTGAGAACAAACGGGAGGTCGCGATACACTTCGGCGGGACATCCATCGAGCCCAGCGCACTTCCCAGGTAAGATCTTGGATTTCCCGCACAACACGTCGAACAGGGACAATTGCGGCGCTCCGTCGCTGCCAGCTTGTTCTAAAGCCGGAAGTCTTGCCCATTGTTTGGCGCAATCGTTGGACGAGTCCCCGAAGCGGCGAATACCGAACTCAAGAGCTTCACGAACCCACGCGCGCCGATGATTCGATAAAACACCGCTCGCTTTCAGAGCAACTGGAAAAGAAACTTGAGGACAACCCGCCCGAACAGAGCAATGTTTTTTCTTGATGCGTAGCTTTCTGGCTGCCCGTTTGGCCCGGCGAAGCTCGGACAGTGCGTCTGCTCGAACAGGCCCAGAAGAAGATGCGACCGACGCGCGGGCCTTCTTAACAGGCACGGTGATCACATGAATCCGGTTCTTGCGACGCTGCTGGATCGTGGCGTGGGGGGTCTCGGAAGCGATCCGGCACACCGAAGCCTGCAGCTCCCGTAAGGAACCGGCATCAAGTTCAGAACATCTTCTGCGAAAGCTGTCAAGTTCGACGGGGCGATTTGGCACCCAACCAGTCATGCACCTACTAGGCGGAGCCGTCGTAACATGAGATTTCTTGCAATCCAGTACTTGCTTCAATCCGATCAGAGGCCGATGATCAGAGGCACGAAATAGCTTGGTTTCGAAACTCTCAGGAGCAACCTGCCCACAGACGCCCGCCGAGACCGCGACAAAGTCGATTTGGGTCCTGTTTGCGATTTTCCTCCTCCGGCCACAGGTCCAAAGGCGCGCCGGCTCCACGCAAGAATCAGCCACCGCTGACGCACCAAACGTGCTCAACGCCTTGACACCAAGAGCCTCCAACCGGTTCAAGACAGCGCGCGCCACGGCTGGTGCATGGGACTTGGGGGGTGGAAAAACAAAGTGGCCAGCGACAGCTTCATGGCATGCGGGAAGAGAAACATTCGCATCAACACACACTATAATCTCAAAATCTCCTCTAAAACAAGTGCGCCGCACACCCCGCACGTACTCCACAGGCTCTTGAATTACATCATATGCACGTCCATCCCCCTGCAAATGGTTTAAAATATGCGCGGATATGGAAATAATTGTGCCCACCACGCAAGCTGCCCAGTAGAGGCGGTAGATTTCAGATCTGACAGCTGGCATCCAATGTCTAGGAATAAGAAAGCCGCAGTCCGAACCATCCCGACACAGAACAACATGGCCGCGGTAGACAAACCTTGCACTAAGACCCCAAGAAGGAACTTCTTGGAATATAGCTGCGGTGTCGCCCAAGCGGTCCCGGAAAGTCTTGGCAATCTTGGCGATGCCCGAGCGCCCCTTTTTGCAAGTATTCCGACAACTAATGTGTATTGCACCGAATTCGTGCGTTGTGGCATTACTTCAATCTTTGAAGGCGTGGAACGCCTGCTGCACTTCCGCTGCAGGCTTGCCCAGTTGCTGCAGGCAGGCCACGTTGTCCCACTGGATGGACCCGGAAGCGTCGACCGTGCCCACAACTACCGACAGCTGCCCGTTCGTCACCGTGAGCTGCCAGTCGGGCTCCCACGTGCACTCGGCCGAACCTCCTGCCGAAGACAAAGAGGAACGAAGAAATGCCCGTGCTTTCTCCCCTGCAGCAAACAGGTTCTGTTCGCTGGGCGACCGCTGCACCGTCGTGTAGATGATCTTGCCGTTGTTGCGGTGGAAGGACGACTCCTTCAAGAGGTCCTTGCAGACGGACGAGACCTCCTCCACGAACCCTGGCGAAACCTCAAGACTGAATTTATGGCACCGAAACCCACGAAGATGACTGGGCCCGAGCTTGGGTACAAGAGATGCTGGGAGAAGAGGCTTCAACTTAGCGGTCAAATCCTCCGCCTCCGCCCTGCTGATACCCTCTGCCTTACGGTTCTTCCATTCGCAAAAAAACCCTGAAACTCCACCATGCAAGGAATAAAGAGGGCCGAAGAAGAAGAAGACGCAAGTACGGCTTCGACATGACCGAATCGAGTGTCATGAACATCGAGGCGGGTGTGTGCCTCCTCCGTCCTTTTCTCAATATTGTCAACACGTTGGTTAACAGCCGCGATGAGAGGGTTGATCTCTTCTTTGAAGGCATTGCGCATTTGCTGAATCAGCGCTGCCTGATCCCCAATTGCAGGCAGCACGTACACGGAGTGGGATGAGAGACAGAAGTACAGTACGGAGATCGGGAATATAAGGGGGTACAGCTTGCAACTTGAGGACGTGTTCCTTGAGGACGCAACTTGGTTCCTCGTCATCGCCGTCGTCCTCGTCGTCGTCGTGTCGTCGTCGCTGTCGGCGATTTAGAGCGCTTCCTCTTCCAACCCCCTTCTTCCCCCTTCGGGGAGGGGTTTACCCCTCTCCCTTATCCCCTCCCCTGGACTTGGACGGGGGGTTCGCGAGGGGCTTGACCGTCCAAGATGGCCCAAGACGGCTCCATGAGAGCCTCAGAGAGCCCAAGATGACCTCCAAGATGGCTCAAGATATTCCAAGGTGCCTCATGATGGCTCCCAAAATGCTCTAAGAGGCCCGAAGAACGCTCCAAGATGGATCGAAGTGGCCACGGAACCTCCCCAGGAGGCCTCCAAGAGGCCAAACTCCGTCCAAAACCTCAGGAACATCATTATGTATTGTTTTCTCGCCTTTTCGTTGCCGATGGCCTTCCGAGGCCTCAGGATGGTTCCAAGATGGCCCAAGAGGGCTCCGAGAGGGGCAGAGGTCTCCAAGATGGCCCCAAGAGCGCCCGAAGAGGCGATTTGTTGGGCTCCCGAAGGGGGGTCCTAGTTGAAGCCCCCCTCTGGTTTGATCGATGTCTTCCAAGATGGTTCCAAGAGCGCCTCTAAAGCTCCCGAAGGCGCCAAAAGAGGGCCTCAATGGGGCGCCCAGACTGCCCAGAGAGGCGCCCAATGGGACCCCAAGAGGCTCCCAAGAGACCCCCAAGGGACCTGAAGAGAATCCCCGAGGCACCCAGGGCGCTCAAAGATTGCCTTGGGCCCGCCAATAGACGCCCCAAGAGGCCTCTAAAACCCTTCCAGAAGTCATCCATTCTTCCGCTTCCTCCTGCACGTCCTGTTTGTTCCTCCTCCTCCTCTTCCTCCTCTTTTTCTTCGTCGTCTTCCAAATGTTCCTCGTTCTCCTGTCCATCCATGTCCGAATCCTAATCGTCACCATCATCATCATCATCATCATCATCATCATCATCATCATCATCATCATCATCATCATCATCATCATCAGCATCATCATCCGCATCATCATCATCATCATCATCATCATCATCATCACCACCATCATCATCATCATCATCATCAACATCATCATCATCATCATCATCATCCTCATCATCCGCACCATCATCATCAGCACCATCATCACCATCATCATCATATCATCGCGTGATCACCGCCAACAGCAACATCAACATCAACATCAACATCACCATCATCAGCATAATCATCAGCATCCTCATATGCAGTATCAGTGCCAGCATCAACATCAAAATCATCATCATCGACATAACCAACATCATCATCAAATACGCCATCATCATCCGCAGCATCAACTCCGCATCATCAGTATCACGACCATCATCAACATAAACATCATCATATGTTTTGTCATCCGGATCATCACCAGCATCAACATCATAATAATCAGCATCCTTAGCACCATCATCAGCATCATCATCATCATCATCATATTCATCCGCCGACCTCTCCCCTCTTGGGGCACGACGGTTTCCCAAGCCTTCTGTTCCTCTGTATGTCCTTTCACTTCCATGATCAGGGCAACTCGATTGGGCATCGTCTCTGGGCTGGGTTTTCGCCTTTCCACTTCCGATGGCGTTCCGAAGGCCCAAGATGGCTCCAAGATGGCCCAACGTGAACCTAAGAAAGGCCAGCGGCAGCCCCAAAACGGCTCCAAAAGCGCCCAAGAGCGTCTCAACAGCGCGCCCGACATTGCCTCAAGAGGCGATGTGAAATGCTACCGAAAGGCCTACACCTTCAAAATGGCACCAAGAGGGTCCAATTTAGATGAGGATGACCGTGTGCCTCCAAGGGGCTCGTTCGCCCATGT